CTTGTCACATAAACCATAAACTAATGCAAAGTGCGAAAATATACTATCTAGCATGACATAACGATGGTGCAACGAAAGTACAACTGCGATGTTTCCAAAAAGATAGGAAGTATCTTATCTGGTAATGAGAGTAGCTTGTATAGGTGGAGTCACCGTTTTACCACAAGTGAATATGTGTTCATAAAAGTATTGTGCTAAGGAAAATCAACTTCTAGGCAGACTTCGAACTGATGGAAAACTTCAAAAAACGAATTTAGCAAGTTTTCATGCAAAAGTGTTACTTCTCCATTACGTTCCACTGCACTGTTTATCGAATATACCTAATGAAGTTCACTGTAGTCTTACGAGAAGAACAAATGAAAAACAAACAACCTAGCACGTGGTGTCAGCGACGGTGTGGATGGGTGAAAGACAGGTTAGAAGCGTGACACTGGCCGATCACATGCTGCAAAGGAAAGCTCGTCGACAACGATCACCTGATAGGAACACAACAGATAAACTGGTTTTCATACGCGGAAGGGTCTATAACTCGACTGATCTCGGTGGTTATGTCGGGTCATAAATCCGAGTAAGAGAGCTCGCTCTCCGTGCATGCATATCAAAGCCCTTTCTTTCTCACAGCGTAATACAATTGAAGCCCATAGGGCGGATATTCCGGACTGCGGGCTTTGTCCTTTCCTTTTGCAAACGTGATTTCACTTTTTTCTTGTGATATGACTGCGGTGCGGTAGACATTGACGAAATTCGTTCCCAATTTTTGCACTGAGTAGGATTAACACTGAGATGGGTTGGTCGGATCGGAGATGCATTGCAGTGATGATGATCAGCTATGAACCTTCATTATGGGCATGATCGTTTCTTGTTTTAATAAGCCAACGTATTACTGGTATAACGCATTGCTGGTAGTTTAAGCCTCTCTTGCCGCTTCCATTTGTATGAAATCAATGTTTGCATGTGCGTTTGTACACAGAGAAATGCATCACCGGTTTAGTATCGATTAGATTGGTTTGGGAAAAAATTTGTGCACTATTGAGTCAATTTTCCAGGGATTTATGATTTTATTAAAAGCACCTCTGATGTATCCCATAATCATCACAGTCAAATGCCACATATTCCACAGTACAGGGGCAAATGCATTACATTACAGCTTGACAGTTAGAAAGCGAAGAAATGACCGATCACATTTTGGAGCCCCACTTGATGGTCCAAAGAATCGCATTCCACTTAATCCTTGATATCCCAAGATAAAGATAGTTAGACAAAGTCAAGTCCAGAAAATCCTAAAAAATTTCTTAGGATTCAAGGTCCAAGGTTTTCTTGAGAGCCATCTTTACAAAGTGTAGGCGCGTCTTGTTACTCAGGATAAGAACAACGCTGCGCTTGCAATGTTGCTTCAAATGAGCTCGGCTAACCTCTGAGTTAGGGCGAAGCAGACAACATAGGTCGCGGTGGCAATGCTTGATAGAAATTAATGACACAACGTTCCATTCATATCTGATCAAGAACAGGAAAAAACTCTGTTCTTGTGGAAGGTTTGCTTCGGTTGGTGTTCTCATATTAATTCAGAAATTTCATGAAACGAAACAAGAGACGAGGATTTTTCCCTTAAGAAATGAGCACTTACAAAGAATGATAGCACAAAATACTTTGCTATTAGATGAAATTTCGTTAAGGTAGCAATGACTGCATAGGTGAAAAAGAAAAGGGCTTATCAATCAACGAAAAGTGAGCCCACGCGAAAGCTATTGATAACTTGGATTTGCTAAGATAACAATGAAAAAACACAAGCGGGTGACAGTTATCAGTCTGATGAGAAAATAATGCCTGTTTTTACAGTCATGAATCCTAGAAATACATTTTGTAGTTAGTGATTATTGACCACATTGCTATTGTTACTTATCATTTTAAAGCCCATCTCTTGAGCACTCAGAAATGCTTTATCTGACACTTAGGTTGCTATAAATTTAAGCGTTTCCAACGAATTTGTGCCCAGACGAGTCATATACGATGCATTTTCACTTTGCGCATAGTTCCTTGCCTGCTCTTTTCTAAAATCATTGGATAGTTTGTTGAACATAAATATTGTAGCGGGCTTCGGCCGGGAAAGCTCTTATCGTGTGATCGGAAACATGCGACAAATAATGCCCTTAGGGCAATAAATTCATTTCGTTTGATTCATGAATTCAAATTTGGACACATCACAGTGGAAAGAACTCGAAATTTCATCAGCGTATGGAGCGAGGAATGTGCTTCTGAGCGATTGGTATCCAGGTTGTTGGGGAGATTTTGTACAGGAGAACCTTGGTGGAGAAGATAACAGTTGAAGCCCAAGAGGGTTTGACTACGACTATCTGAGGGTGATGTTGGATGTTAACTCTTTAGAAACTACTGAAAATGTCAAGAGGGTTACATGTTAGCCACCCAACAAGTGTTCGTGATTTTAAAGCCGGTCTAAAGATGAAAATTATAGCAAATGGGTTGCAGACGATTTGTACGAAAGGCAAGGAAAGTCGACCATAGATTTAAAAGTTAACGGTGCAGATTTTGGAAGAACTATGAAGCTACGAAGCTGTGCCTCATCAACCATACTCACTACACTCCTAGTATTTCACTAATCAACTTCGATTCACTCAAGAATCTCGGAAGTTGTTGGCAAAGAACAACCATCGACATCCATAAAGGCTCTAAAACTCTTGGCTTTGATTAATCATTGAGGGAAGCGCCATGCATTCGACTTCATTAAGCATCGTTGAAAGTGATTGAATGCATATATGGCCTTTACAATGACTCGAGGTGGCCTACCGATGTATCAAGACAGTGATGCTATCCTTCCAGACAAGTTTGGCACCAATTCGCCAACTTCGGAGGGCCAGAGAGCTTGGTGAGCCCGGGAGGCGATGTGTCTTGCGGTGTATTTCGGACCACTGCGCCACATGCCACCTTTACGACATGCAACAACCATGACCTGCTACAAATGCTGTCGAACAATTCATCGCTACCAAGAATTCCAAGCTACCGAAATAGACGAACTTGTACCTTGCTGACAAAAATGTGTAGGTTATGAAAGGTAGAGCATTTGGCATTGATCAATCCCTAAGGGGTACGCCATGCTTCGACCCCATTACGCATCGCAGAGATGAGTGGGGACAAATCTAGTCCGCATAATGATTGGTGTAGGTTTATCGGTTGTATCACGTACACGTATCACGTCACTACAAAAAGGGCGCGTGTGGCGCAGTGGTCGGGGGCGCCCTGCAACACACACGTGGAATTGATTCCTGCGCCCGTGGCTCGCCAAGCCTTCCATCCCACCGGGGTCAGCAAATTGATACCAGATTTGTCTGGAGCTCGATACAGCGGTAGGCCAGTATGATTGTAGGCCATTGTAAAGGCCAAATATGAATTCAATCATTTCCGACGATGATGAAGTCGAATTCATGGCCCATCTCTCAAGGATTGATCGATGCAGAGAGCTTTATCCTTTATCGTTTTATAGTGCTGAAAACAACGAGATCTTGGTAGCTCATGAATTTCCTGGGAGGAGACGCTACACTCAGCATTTCTAACACATGAACAGGAAAGGATGGAGCAGGAATGGATAGGTTACATGCTATGGTTCAACCCTCTTATCGATCAGGGAACTGAAATCCATGCGTACTACCGTGGAAGAAAAGCTAGAAATGTATCAGCAAAAAAATTTTTTTTGGGAAAGGACGAAAGTTATTTACATTATTAGAAAGAAGATGCAAAAGATGAAACACTGGAAAAGAAATAAGCGCAGCAGTATTGATGACACACTGAGATCGAAGATAGCATTTGTTATTGACTTGTACCGTAATCTCTTACATTAAATGCCTACAGCTCGAACTTTGAAATCTGACGCGCCGACTCTTGAACTGCCAAGCGTGTTATGACTAGCACATGATGAAATTGAAAACCGGAAAAACTCGCCACAATTAGCCGTCTACGTGTACAAACTAGCGCATCAAGCATGAGTGATAGAATATTTGTTCTTGTAGTAGGTTGAAAATGAATGGGTTCGACGAACCGAGGGCTTGGCTGCCACCACGCGGCTGTTGGGCAAGGTGGTGTTTCATTACACTCCGGTACATCTCTGCAACAACAATGCCACAAGAGGTTTGCAACACTTTCCTAACTTCTGATCCCAGCTGTATCTTCTTACATTCGACAGCAACTTTATTCAAAGGTTGGACTACAAGGTGAAAATCGTGGAACAGAACTCAAACATAGTGCTAACATTGGAAAATGTAACTTCAACGATGTTGAGATATTTGCAAAGCTCCGATCGCAGGTGTATGCGGTGGGGAACGAACGCGCTATTGTCCTTTCCGGGGAGTAGCGCGTTCACCACCACACCATGTGGGTTTTTCGTTCTGCCTTTTTCTCAGATAGTTCTATCGATTTGAGAGCTGAGAGAAAGGCGAAACGAAAAACCCACATGGTGTGGTGGTGAACGCGCTACTCCCCGGAAAGGACAATAGCGCGTTCGTTCCCCACCGCGTACACCTGCGGTCCAGAGTTTTGCAAGTATCTCAGCATCATTGAAGTTATATTTCGCAACATACCCTGCCATCAAAAAGAGTAGGCAGTAAATAAAATGGTTAAGATTGGAAAGTGTGTTACTTCATGGGCTGAGTGAATCTGACAGTGGTTATATAAGTTGGCGCTATTGCGTGGACAAGAGTTTTATCTCGTAACATTCATATTTCCCTATGGACAACGTATCACCTGATTTCGTCTTCTCAAAGCGATTTTTCCTGTTGTTGACCTAATTGGTTGATTTCATTTATTGTTTGTTCAATCCTAGAAAATGCAAATATCATTAAAAACACACCTACCGTATGAATTTTCCGACTGATGCATAGAACGGACCACGGAGTGAGTTTTATTTTTGTAACTAGGCCCCCTTGGAGCAGTAGGCGGCTCCTCTTTATCTATACGTATGGCTGATAAAAAACGGAACGAACGCAAAGAAAAGGTTGGTTGAAAGTGTGGTTATTGAACGAGTAGTCGGTACAAGGCACATTTTAAAGATTCGACGATGGCTCCAGTCGATTATCGATAGATTAACAAAGGATTGGAAGCCAGCGCTATGCCAATCGCTGTTCACTGAAGCAGAACTCATCGAACTGTGCTATCGAGCGAGAGAAACATTCTGGAGTCAAAAAACAATGATTGAGGTTGCATTTTTATTCAAGTTCTGGTCAACAATTTTCAATAGGCAAATCTTTGTGGATGTTAGTGCATGTGACTTAGGTCAGCTCGCCAGTTCAAATCTGCGGCGACATTCACGGGCAGTACGAAGACCTTCTTGCACTCTTTCACCTTAATGGCTTCCCACCTACGAAAAAGTTTGACCATTTTTTCCATAATTTCTTCTAAATTAGGAATAACGACAAATAAGAGTAATTTAATTGAATCGAGAGAGTTATACAAATAACATTTCACCTTACCAATAGTAGCGCAGTATGATAAGAATACGAAAACTTGTTGGCTGATCGTAAACAGTCCTAACACTATCATCTTGAGTCTATTTCATGTGTCTTGCTTACACTCATGGACGACAAGGTTTCGTGTGAGCACAGCTGTTCGCACACTCACTGCATGCTTAAGAGCAAGTAGTTTTCCTCTTTGAAGTGGGTCCAATTGTTAGACTGAGGAAATGACTGTCAGTCTGACAAGTGATCACAGTTTAGTTCAAGGTAGAGTAGAGTCATCGGTTAGTAATGTACACATGAGCTGGCACTTAAACCGTGAAGTGAAGACGAAAGAAGATGCAAGAAGGAAGGAGGAGTGATGGGGATTTGTGATTCTCTATGAAAGTAAAGTGAATGATCAGACCAACTCAACTACCTCTATGAGCAAATTTTGGCTCGCTTACATATGATGTTTTGCTGTCATACCCGAATAAACTCGTAAATATAGGCGAACTGTGTTCTTTGGCCGAGTAGTAGAAAAATCTTTAGTTTTAGTATACTGTCACGCGAAAGTTTTATTGTTGCAACAGTACAAACCTCAAACCTTGGTAATTAACCTTCATCTACGTGAATATTGCAACAGTAACAACACAATGAGAATAACAAATGTGCAATGGCTAAGTGGAGAAGATTTGCTTAGAACTAAGAAGGAGAGCCGAAGCAGAAGAGCATGGGTGATTTCACAAGCAAATGAGGACTTCTGGAGACCGTCTGAAAGCAGGCATTACGGCAATTGGCGTGGTTCCTTCCTTGAAAGTTTTTCATGTGTGCAGGTGCTGAGATACAAAGGCAGATCATTCCCGTCAACTGCGAAGTACGAATATGATGTAATTGTTACTGAACACTTGACAACTATTCTAAAGAACTTACAGAGTAAGGTAGATATGAAGATAGAGAACATTCGCTATTTTTTTGAAGAATATTCTCTAAACAGGTGATGGAATATGTTAGAGAAGAAAGTACTACCCCATATATAATGAACGATTCAATAGGGATATTAGCACTATTGTCAAATGCAATTCCTTTAATGTTCCAAAGCTGCTGTTAAAGTAACGGTAAAATCAAAGGTTCCATTTATCTTTTGCGTTTCCTTGACCCTCGAAATTTCACTCTCTAAATCGCTGGGCAATACTGCTTAGATGATGAGCATGCTATTTAGAATAAGAAAGATTTGATGATTGCCGTAGTTTAGCCAGTGGGAGAAAACAACTGAGACCGCTTATTGATCTCCGGACTGAAGGGCACTTCTAACTCTTTTGAAACCGGCATCTTGAGTCGAAACTTTGGATAAGAAGTGAATAACGGAAGCTCTGCTTGACATTGTCTCACAGTTGTCGCCGACTATGTGAACGTTTAAAGTGATTAGTATATTAGGATGTTTTCCTTATTCACTAATTTCTAGTTCAGCATGAGTGTGTTTTCAGGTACTTGTTTCTTGGAGATTACGTCGATCGTGGACCCTACTCACTCGAGGTTATAGCGTTACTCTTCGCCTATAAGGTGCTTCCGGCATGTTACGTGCTCACCATTAGAGACGATATTTAGTAACTTCTTATCAAAGGCAATTTGAAATGTCTAGCACTTTGTGTAACCAGGTACTTCATCCTGATGACATTGTTCTGCTTCGCGGTAACCATGAATCACGTCCAGTGAATATGCAATACGGCTTTTACATGGAAATAAAGAAACGGTAAAGCACTTGTCTAAACACGGCGTCCGCATCCAAGCTGTTTATTCAGCTCAATGCCTTCTTTTCAGGTACTCTGCCACACTGTATGAATGCTTTCAATACGCCTTCTATACAATGCCGTTTTGTGCACGCGTCGAGAAGAGAATTCTTTGTATGCATGGCGGTATTAGTGAAGAACTTATGGACTTCAAACAGGCGAATTTTACATTTCTCTTTCTCTTTCTCTTAGTAGAGAAACCTTCAACAACTGCCGAATTGTGGTTCCCAGAGCATTCCCGTAGATGGGTCATTGCTGATGGGACCTTTAAGGTAAAAAGTTGTCTGACAGAAAGGCAAAGCAAGAGCCTTCGTAGTGGAGTGGGTTAAACGTAAACTTCCGAAATGGGTTGTCGTGGACTCAAATACGGTGTGGTCCGACTCACATAAACCCTGCGACGGAAAAATAATAGGCACTAAGTAGAAAGCTAAACATTATCAGCAACTATATCATTGAGAGATGAGCACCATTCAAGCAAACTAAATCTAGAACCTACTTTAAACCACTTTTGATGGATTTGAACGGACACGCATCCGCATTCTATGAGAGGATCAATATGTAACATACAATGAAATTTTATGTGTTGAAAGTAGGTCGCAAAGAGCTGAAAAATTGACTTCGTGATTCGGAAATCCTATGAGTGCTTCTGCCGTTCCTCAGAAGTCTTCAGTGGAAAGTACGACATCGAAATAATGCGCTCTACCGTAAGCATTTGGCTAGTTCTGCTGGTGCTGAGAACATTGTTAGTGCTTTTCTCGTTCAGATTCCCATGATCAAGTTGCGAGCATTTTACCACCATACCTCAGGCGTTACGTGACTAGTAGAACTGCTGGCAGCTTTCGCTTTGCGACACTTTGACAATTTTCTACTGACTATGTATAATAGAAGATAAAAGTTTTCAGCCTGAGAGGTCAGGGCCAATGATTCCATCTTTGTTACTGAAGGCATTAAAAATTTAAGATAATTCATCCACAGATGTTGGAAGCATAAATGTTTGCAGAAGTACTGAAGGTGAGCAACAGTCAGCATAAAGTAGAAGCTATGGACTATCATAAACACACTTCATTGTTTGCTGGCACATAATGTGACGAGAATAGTAAGATTTGTGTCTCAAAAAGTGAAGACATAAAAAGCGGTTCCAAGCGGGCACATCGCAAACATAAAAGGGTAAAAGGACAATGCTCTCGGTGTTGATCAATCCCTGAGGGATGCATAATGCTTTCGACTTCATTAAGTACCGTTGGAGGTGATTGAATGCATTTCTGGCTTTCACAATGACTCGCAGTGGCCTACCGATGCATCGAGCCAGTGCTGCTATCCTCCCAGACAAGTCTGCTACCAATTGCCGACTCCGGAGGGATGGAAGAGTTGGCGGGCCATGGCCGTGGGGATCGATTCTATGTGCGTGTCGCGGTGGCGTCTCCAACCACTGCGCCACACCTGTCTATCGGAAACATACATATGACTAAGTAGGAAGCCTCTTCCTTTACCTAAGTTTATAGATATTGCACTTTGGCAGGTTGAATTCTCTATTGTAAACCATTTGGTAAAAAATCATGACGCATTATCGGATAATATCGTAGTCGACTTTGAAATGATAACATCACTCGATATTTAATGATCATGATTTCAGCTAGAGAAAATCGAACGACCATGTGATATACCAGACATTGGTGTGATTGCTGATCTAACTTGGGCTGATCCTGATCCGAACATTTCCGGATTCGAGGAATCGCCTCGAGGAGCAGCGCGAATATTCGGAGCGGACGCATTAAAGAATTTTTGTAAACTTCATGGACTAGATCTTGTTGTGAGAGCTCACCAGGCATGATCGTTCAAAACGATTACTCTTTTGCGACACAGTTGTTTTTATCAGAGGAATTTCACTTAGTTCCTTTCTTTCTAAGTGTAAACAAATAACAATTAATCGTAGTAGTCAATTCAAATGGAGGCATTAGTGATGGAAAAATCTCGAAAATCGAAAAAGAGAAGATTAGCCGCTACTCATTTTTCCTAGTAGGAAAAGCTAAGGAATTATTCACCACTGTAATTACAGCCGTGCAAAAACATCTTGTTGAGTTGGTGGTCGATAATGCTTTGTTTCGATCCAAAGGATACTCGAATGGAAACCATCGACATGAGGATGTCGAAACATAGTGTTAACTAGTCAAATTTTGGTATACAGTAGTGAGTTTGAGTTCTAGGTAGTACAAGATGGCTACGAATTTTTCGCCGATCGACATCTAGTGACAATATTCTCGGCTCCAAACTACTGTGGTCAATTCGACAATACTGCCGCTGTAATGCTTGTCAGCAAAGACCTAGTAAGTGGATCCCTTGAGTATTGATTGAAAGATGTTGTTCAACGATTGTACTGAATTCTTTCAGAATTGTACGTTCACACTTCACAAACCGATTTTGAAGAAAACGGCGGTATAATTAGAGCATTTCTCCAATGGTTAAACTATTAAGAGTGATAATAAACATTTATGTGACGAAACGGGATGTGCATAAAAAGCCCACTTCTCGACAATCTATTTACATGTAATAGTTTACACATATATCTCGAAGACGGCTGTAGTACAGTGGTTGGAGGAGCCCTTCAACACATTTGTGTTCCGTCTCGGGCTCACCAAGCCTTCCATCTCTTCGAGATAGGCAGATTGCTACCAGACCTATTTGAAAGGATACCAGCATTGACTCGATGCATGGGTAGGGCGAGTTATTGTAAAGGCCAGATATGCATTCAATCATCTCCAACTATTCTTAATGAAGTCGAGTGCATGTCGCATCCCTCAGAGCTTAATCAACGCCAAGAGCTTTATCCTTTATCATTTATATGTACCCTAATTTCTCACGTATTTCGAAACAAGCTAAGAAATCTCTAAAGGATGCTAAACGCAACAGAAACTGGAGGTTGAAGTGGTGGCCATTATTACTAATATTCATTATCAAGTGTAGTTTTCTATGCAAGACTCCATAGGAGCGGAGGATGTTACGACGGTTCGTCAATACTTAGAAGAACATAATAAAACCGTCAAGCATAGCTTTTCTTATAGTGTTGAATATACAAGAAGTATTAAGGCGAAGCTTTTATTGAGCTTTGGATACACCTTTAGAGTTCACTACCTCATCGTGCCTAGATATTTTTATGGTGTGGCCGAAAAACCCTAGCTAAGTAAGCCTTTTCCAGGAATCACTGTCTTCGAAAAAAGAAGCATGTTCTCTTGTTGAATTTGCTTCCAATCTTCCTCCGTTATGGACGCGCGTAGCGCAATCGAGAGGAAATAGAGGTTCTCTGTAACACATACTGAAGCATTCCACGGTTCGAACACGTGTTCCGAACTCAGGAAATATTTCATCTATATCGAGTCGGAAAATTGGCAGCCAACTTGTTTGGGAGAAGAAAATACCTTGATACATCGGTAGGCCATTGGAAGTTATCTCATGAGCCAGATATGCATTCTACCACCTATAACGGTGCTTGATGAAGTCGACTGTACCTCTTAGGGATTCCTACTCTTCGGTTATTTTACACTAATTATCTTATCATTATCATTCGTCTATCCTAATGCCTCAGTATCATTATCCTAATGCCTCTGGAAAGTACCTGTGTTAGCGACCAAGGAAATCAAAATACATCTATTTAGAGAATCCATGGAAAAAAGTTGGTAGGACTAGTAGGCAGAAACTATCTTCACAGCGTGGCAACGTCTTATAAACAGTCGTTCGTTAAACCTAGCCAAGAGCAGTCAGTATTTTTCTTCACGACTGAGCTGGCACGAGTTTGGTTTAAAAACTTTTATTCGGCTAGTGTTTCGGCACCTAGGCCTTTCTCAGAGCAGTGTCGATGATCCAAGGGTAGCCGCTGTCGCTTTGTGTGTTGACTCGAATGAAACGCAGCTCTGAAAAAAGCGAAGGCTGCAAAACGTTGGCTGAAGAAAAGCTTTTCATACTAACCTCTAATCAGCTCGGTCATATAGAAAATCATCTTCACAGGATTGCACACTAGAGGCGAGCTCACCTACAATGTCGGCAGCGAGGCTACTGCAGAAATCGACTAAATTTCACATTGCAAAACCATTGGAAACAGTGCAATAACTGCTCAACGTGGACGCTGACCTCGCAGTATTCTCGGGTCCCGCCTTCAAGGTCTTTTTTTGAAGTGACAAGTAATCATAAGGAGAGGCATATAGTAAATAAAATAAAGCAAGTCTCACTATCCGTGTTGAGGAGATCCAATCATGAAGTATCGGCAGGGGCACGTTTTGTTGTGTACTCCTCAGTTACCTATTGCGTCGACTTGCACACTCATCTCGTTTGTCCATCGCTCCCATGCAAAACTTCCATCGAGAGAACATCATCATTGTGTGGTTTTCGAAAAGAAAACCACAATTGAACATATAATTAGCAGAATAGCACCAGTATTGACCGACCACAATTTCATAGACGGAAAACGCTGCTTTTGCGGAATGTCCTTCCTATCATCTTAATACTGCTTCTGTGGAAATTCGTCGTATCATCTTTATGCTGCTTTCGTTAAAAATTTTGATGCATCACCTTAATATTGGTTCAGGTCACATCAATATATGAAGAGTCGGTACAGTCACAAATTGGAGAAAAACTGTTATTGCCAAGGAACGAGATCGCAAATGACGTGTGACGAAGACAAAAGCATCTCCTGGGTCGATTTCAGAACAGGACAAAACAAAAAAAAAGATTCAACTAGAAAAAGGGTTCGGTAAATTTGTATTAACCAGATCAGCGGGAAGTATTCGTGGAATTAACCGATGAGGCCGTTCATACCACTGAGTTCATTGTAAGCTGCCCTTCTCTTGATTTGCTCCTTTTTTTTCTTGGTTGCAGTAGAGTGAGCGTCAAACTTGTAATTAAACCTTCGCTTAGCCAACAAGCTAGTAGAACAATAATGACATAACCGATCTTAGCAAATGTAATAAGTTGATCTAACAAAAACGAATAAATTTAATGCGTTGCTGATTAGAAGAAGGTACGCATAATACGAGGATAAAAAGGGCAAAGCTCTCGGTGTTGCTCAATCTCTGAGGGAAGCGCCATGCATTCGACTTCAATTAACATTGTTTGTAGATCATTGAATGCATATCTTGCTTTTACAATGACTCGCGGTGGCCTACCGATGTATCAGCCAGTGCCGCTATCTTTCCATATAAGTCTGGTACCAATTTGCCGATCCGGAGGGATGGATGGCTTTGTGGGCCACGGGAGCGGGATCGATTCCACGAGTGTGTTGCAGGGCGCCTCCGACCACTGTGCCACACGCGTATGCATAACATACGTCTGAGATTGATACCGTTTATCTAAGCGGAACGCTAGAAAACTGGATTCTACAACATGAGCTGAAGAAGCAAGAAAGTAAAGACTGTAGCAGTATCTAAGCGAATGGAAGGGTGAGGAGTGTTTCTAATATTCTTTAGATGGATAGAGATACTGTTCTGAAGTCTTGTGTTCGTTGCTTCCATGCCCACCCCACAGGTAGTCGGTAGCCTACGTAGATCTTCACATACAAGCACCGATTTTTTGAACACAGAGTGAGATACCGACTTAAAACCGCTATGGACAACATAACGATCTACCAATAGATTTTCACTATCCGAAAGCGATAAAAATGAAGAGTTCCTTAGAGAAATGTGACCATATTTGAATTAACATAGTTTATTGGGAAGGTAGTAGATGACATGGTCCAATGAAGTGCTAAAATTGTGCTAAGTCGAGCCACCGATGACTGTTGAGCACCAAATTTGATTTCTGAAACCGATGATGAAACATGGGTGATAAAACGAGGATCTACTAGAGATTCTAAGAATGTTATTCCTTTACGTTAATGTGTCCTTATTATTTTAATTGATAGTTTTGCTTCTACTAAAAACCTAACGAGCTCAGTGAGTTGATTGTCTAAATGAAAAAAAGCCTCTGCGTGGAAGGTAATTTGGGTAGTTTGTAATATTCGCTGTGACATTCAAATGATCTAGCGGAGCTTAATAGACGTATGTTGTTTCGGAAATTCATTAAAGTAACAATGTCGTATGACACATGTGTCAAGTGCACTTGTTCTGGGATTGTTTTCCATGTTTATCAACATCACAATCCGTCTAATGTGAACGCGACTACAATGTGGGAACTTCGATCAACATTCGGAGGAGAGGACATTTCCTTGATTAGTTATTTCTTTCGCTGTACAGTTGCACGTCTCTATTCAGATCACCTCTCCATCGGACATTCGGCATTTGCTGCTTTTGACATTTAGGTGTGACCGTTCTGAAGCGTAAAAAAGGAGTGAGATAACAAAATGTCTGATGGCACCTTCGATAAGTCAAACCTCTTTTAATTACAAGGAATGTTCGCCTCACAATTTCATAGTTCTGCTGAAGAGAAGGAAGAATGAGGTGCCTCGTGTCATATCTCATTAACATTGACTATCGCCTACGTTCTGGAGACTGCCCCCATTCAAACATTGTCATGCAAAAACTATGTGCAGATTACTGGGACATTTCCTTGAGCTACTGTTTGCTCCACCTCTCAATTAGCGCAGAAGCGATGACAGAAAAGGATTGGACTGTTGCCTATTGATTCGAAACTGTACTGATTGACAAGCACTGGTTGAAAGGTCCAGTGCACGGTACGCGCTTGGATAAGGAGTACTATGACTGCTAAGGCCTCAGCGGCTTCAGTCCTGCCGTTGTGCGCCGGCGTGAGTCGCCGACTGGTCGAGTGCGGCGGATTGTTTGCCGACAGTCAGTGACGGCTAGTGCTCGCCGTGATCGATAGCGACCAACCGACATGCCATGGCTCACCTCCTACCGCAGTACCTGGAAGGGCCCGTCTACCGACCGACCGCTCCTTCTTCCTGGATAGCATCTTTCGTTCCATCGGAAATTATTGCCGAACTTCCTTTCTGTGCACTTTCACACCAACTTGAGCATAAACATCGCTTTCATTCGCATCGGAATAAGTGAAAGTTGAGACAATCATTAACTTTCTCTGCGGTCTCACCAATGATAGCTATGACTTCTGCTGACTTTTCGACGTTAATGCGGTTCACCTCGAATAAAGTGTACTCAGTTTCCAGTCAAGAAACCAGCAATTCTTGTTAAACAGCATTTATTTCGGCGCTAATTAAATCCATCCACTTTTTAGGAGCTCAAGGCTTTATTTCCACATGTAGCTAATATTCATGATCACTGTATTATAACAAAATATAACTTAGAAACATGTGGTGTTGTATGTTTCATGTTTAAGAATAGCTAATTTATCTATAAGAATATATTCCTTAAAAAAGCTTCTGCGCCAAACCTGAGCACACCTGCTGCAG